TATATATATATATATATATATCACTGGTTTTACTTCTCTAGAAAACAGCCTAAGACAGGAGGAAGGGGCTGGAAGGGAGAGGATCTATGCTGAACTCATGCACCCTGCTAATCCTCTTCATGTGAAGGTGGAAGATGTTTGGTTGGGGATGCGAAAGAAGCAAGAACTGTGCTGATCTCCTGCTATGTAACCTGGAACAGCACCTCTTGAACTGAGGGGTAGATGTGGAGGAGGGGCGGGCAGCATGCTGTAAGCATGGAGCTTCAGCTCAGAAGCACCAGCAAGTTCATAGGAGCCACAAGTGGGGTTCAATGTGAGCTCAGACATCATTCAGCCTTTTCAGGGTGAAAGAGGCATACAGCAGAGCCATGCAAAAGTGGGGGGAGATGTGGCTGCCAAGTCCAACTGACCAAGTCACCATCTAGGCACCCCAAAGACAGACTAATGGAGCCCATCAGAAAGGAAGCACATCGGAGGCCAAGCAGTCAAGAGCAAAAATACAGGGTACCTACACAGGGAGACTGGAGTCCTGGGGTGGCGTTGTAGGCTCAGCATTGAACTACCTAACCACAAGGTCAGCAATTCAAACCCACCAACTGCTCCTTGGAAACCCTACACAGGGTCAGTTGGAACCACTGACTCAGTGGCATTTAACAGCAATATATAGGGAGACCAGGGTGTGTCCATCAGCTCTATCCTCACCCTAGATTAGTACTGTTCCAGGGAAGAGGGACAGAGCAAAACCCCTAAGAAGTGCTTCAAACAGGAAGCAGCTGAATCATAACCCTGCACTAACTGATAAACCCCTGATTGTTTGAGTTTATTCTCATCCTATACCCATTACTTGTTTGTCAAAGCTCTAAGAAAAATATGACCATGTCCCTAGAGAAATGCAAAGGTCTTACTAACTTTTTCATGGCATGCAGTTTAAATAACACATGAAAAGTTTAACCTCAACCCCAATCAAACATTTGTAAGGAACTGGGATGTCAATACAACATATTCTGTTGTTGAATCAATTCCAATTTATGGTGAGCCCACATCATACATACTAGAATTGCTTTACAACATAATCTTTACAGAAGCAGATCACCAGGACTTCCTTCCACCAAGCTGCTGGGTGGGTTCAAACCACCAACCTTTAGGTTAGCAGCTGTTCACAAACTACTTCCACCACCCAGGCTCGCTGACACAATATATCAAACCCAAAGACAAAATTACTACCAAGTCTATTCCCACTAATAATAACCCTATAGAATGGAGTGAAATTGCTCCTTAGAGTTCCAGGAGCTTTATAGGAGCAGACAGCCTCATCTTTCTCCTGCAGAGAAGTGAATGTGTTTGAATTACCAACCTTGTGATTAGCAGCTCAATGCCTAACCCATATGAATGTCTATGGCAAAGCTGAGGGACTTGGTTATCACCATGACATGCTCAGTGTCAGGTGTAGCAAAGAATATGGAGCCTTTTAACAGTTCTCAAATGAAATGCCAGTTATAACACATGAACCTGGCTGAGCAGGTAAATGTGGGTACATGGGCCTGACATAACATCAAGCTGAAAGCATGTCAGAGCACCCACCACATTTTGATAACTGCTATGAGGGTTTGTGCACACAAGATGCCCAAACAAAGAAGTCAAGCCTGCTCCATAAGCAAGAAAAAAGCTGGTAAATATATTTATTTATTTATTGTTAAGTACTGTCAAGTTGGTTCTTCTGATTCATTGCAACCCTGAGTCCTGGTGTGGTGCTATAGGATAAGCTTTGAACCACAAGATTGGTTTGAACCATAAGACCAGTGGTTCAAGATTACCAGTCACTCTTCGGAAACTCTATATAGGGTTGCTATGGGTCAGAACCTACTTGATAGCACTTAACATATACATAAAATCTGGTGTGGCACTATAGGATAAGCACTGGCCTGCAAGGTCAGTTTGAACTGAAAGGATGGCGGTTCAAACCAACCAGCCATTCTTCAGAAATGCTATACAGGGTCACTTTGAGTAGAAACTGACTTAACGACACCAAACAACAACAGCATATACACAGACATACTTATATGTATATATACACATATATACAGACATACTAATATGTATATATACATACATATACAGAAATCAAATTGGCAACATTTGTGGAAAGAGATGGTGGAAAAACTCCATATCATCAGCCAAAACAAGGCCAGAGGCAGACTGTGGAACAGACCATCAATTGCTCATATGCAAGCTCAGGCTGAAGTTGAAGAAAATTAAAACATGTTGACAAGACTTGAACATATCTCACCTGAATTTAGAGATCATCTGAAGAACAGACTTGATACATTAAACACTAATGACAGAAGACCAGAGGAGTTGTAGGCTGACATGAAGAGCACCATACAGAAAGAAAGCAAAAGGTCATTAAGAAGACAAGAAAGAAGGAAAAGAGCAAAATGGATGTCAGAAGACACTCTGAAACTGGCTCTTCAGTGTAGAGATGCTAAAGCAAATGGAAGAAATGAGGAGGTGAAAGAGCTGAATAGAACATTTCAAAGGACAGCTTGAGAAGACAAGTCAAATATTATCATGAAATGTGCAAAGATTTGGAGTTAAACATGGTCAGCATTTTTCAAACTGAGGGAACTGAAGAAAAAGCTCAAGCCTTGACTTTCAATATTGAAGGATTCCATGGGCAAAATGGAGTTCTGGTGTGGCACTGCAGATTAATGCAGTGAACTGCAAAGTCGGTTTGAACTGCAAAGTTGGCAGTACAAGATCACCAGCCACTCCTTGGAAATCCTAGACAGGGTCACTATGACAGCATTTAATAGCAACAACAAATGGGCAAAATAGTGAATGATGCAGAAAGCATCAAAAGAAGGCAGAAGAAATACACAGAGTTACTGAACCAAAAAAAGGGGGGGGGGGGGGGGAGGGTTGATGTTCAACCATTTCAAGAGGTAGCATATGATCAAAATCCATGAAAATGAAGGAAGAAATCCAAAGTTCACTGAAGGCATTGGCAAAAAAAGTTGCACTGAAGGCATTAGCAACAGAACAAGGGGACACTGAGTGGTTTAAAATCAGGAAAGGTGTGTGCCAGGACTGCATTCTTTGATGAAATACAAATTGAAATCTTTCAACAAACTGATGCAACAACACTGGAGGAACTCTCTCAACTATGCCAAGAAATTTGGAAGATTGTTGCTTGGCCAACTAATTGGAAGAGATCCATATTTGTGCCCATTCCAAAGAGAGGTGACCCAACAGAATGTGGAAATCATCGGACAATATCATTAATGTCACATGTAAGTAAATTTTTGCTAAAGGTAATTAAAAAAATGACTGTAACAGCACATTGGCAGGGAACTACTAGAGGTTCAAGTAAGATTCAGATGACGTGGAACAAAGAATATCTTTGATGACTTTAGATGGATCTTGGCTGAAATAAGAGAATACCAGAAAGATGTTTACAATGAATAAAAAATGACAATAAAAGTGAATAGAGAAAACCCTAGATGTGATGCATCTGAGTTATGGAGTTGGAGGATAACATTAAAATAATGAATAATAGCAATAAGTAAATAATGAATATATACAATGAATA